TCTCCCCATTCTAGATTGAGTGGACTGCAAAGATTACCCTGATCTGAGGAAAACCTATTGATCACTGAATCTAATTCTCCTCTTCTTCCCGCTCATTTAATGGAAGTATCCACTTGTCTTGTCACAATCACCATTAGTGTCACAATCACCATTAGCAGCACATGATTTTCCAGAATAGAAGTTTAGAAACAGACCTGATCTCTTTTGATTCTGATTTAGAGCAGTGCTGGTTGGACCTATCTTTATTTTTAAGGTATGCCACATACTCTTTCAAATCCTAAATTCCTTGGAATCTACTCAAGTCAAATGCTCTGCCCTTAATAGGAACTATTTCTGTTTAAAGATGATATATGCAGACTAAAGGTAAGTGCTACATTACTTTATTCCATTGCAACTAATTGAGCAAAAATATGATATTGAAAGGCTGAGTAGTTACACCAGCATTAATTATTAATTTGCTTTTATGATTCTAATGTGGAAAGCAATATACTTTTTATATTATGGTCAGATATGGGGATTAATATATGAGACTGCAATTCTGCATATGCTTACCCAGGAATAAATTATTTTTAATTCAATACTTGTTTTATGTAAAATTGTATAACTTTTGATTCTGACCTTAACTGAATTAAACACTGAACATTAAGTAGCAATCAGTATGTGCCCCATTCCTCAAAAGCTAAATTTTTTGTTGTGCTAAACAGGTTAAATCACAATGAATTATGGGAAATCTTGATTCCAGATGGAATGTTAAATTGAATCGTGCAGGATTGTATTATCATGGACTGGTTTTGAAAGCATCTTTGCCATTTCTAATTTTCTGGAGCAGCAATTCAGGAAGAGATATGGGCAAACAAATTTCCCTGGAATTCCTGCCTAGTTAAGTTTAACTGGTACAATAAACTGTAGTCTTTCACAGGGGTGTCAAACACGTGGCCCACGAGCCAGACATCTGGCCTGTGGATGCCACACCCACCCTTCCCCACAAAGGCAAAACCAATCACCATACGATCTGTGATGTGAACAAGTTTGACACCTCTGGTTTATTTGCTTTGTGAGGAGTGGAATAAATGAATTTAACTTAAGAACTTCAATAGAATCAATTATCCTTAATATGGTATTACCATTTCTTTTTAAGAGAAAGAAAGAAATATAATAGAAAGGTAATTGTATATTGTAATTGTCTTGTTCTGTAAACAGATACAACATATCTGGAAAATGATTAATTATTAAATAAAGACAATACAAATAACTTTTTCAAACACAATATGGAATTTTGTTGAAAAGACTGGGGAAAAAATGGATATAGCCAGTTCTGGTGCAACAGAAATACACAAACAAAAATCTAAACACTTGCAGAACTGAACATAACTGAATTAAAACACAGAAGACATAAAAGAAGTTAAAAAAATATCTGTGGAAAGTGGTATGGCCATTCCACATCTTGCATATTTAAGATCACTTGATACAAATTGCCTATTAACAAATATTATTCCAATAAGAAGGTGGAATATGATTTATAAAATATGAGATATACTCACATATTTTAATGATTCTATATGCAGAACTAAAGTGATAAATTATTCTACAATAGAATGTTTTGTAATGATTAGCACATCAGGTAATTATGTGATCTGAGCACCTAGAGCTGAGCTACTGTAAATAGGTATACTGAACATTTCTAATATCAGTTTTTTATGTATCCTTATTTACACTTCCATACTACATCCAAGCAGAAAGTACTAAGAAACATTATGTTTGGTATGATGATCAGAACCATTTCTTTCAGGACTACTGATAAAATCTTATTTCAAGAAAGTTCAAAAAATACTTACCAAACCTTTTAGCAAGTTTTTAGAGGATTGTATTATGGATAAACTTGCTGATGATATGGCACTCTGCTTGCCAGCAAGTTTATATAATTAATCATTATTAGATATTAATTCATCTTTCTTAACTTTCTATCACACCCTAGGCAGGGTAGTCTATATAAGTGACTCTCACAGAGTTAACTGGACCAAGTAAGCAGGATGCAACCTGTTTTTCATTGGGGATCATACAAACCGGAGATAAAGTAAATAGTGTCCCTGAAAGTTTGCCTTTACTTTCTCCCACATAAGTGAAATGACAGGTATACTTGGCCGCAATTTTCTCATTCAGGCAAAGGTTGACCACTTCCAATTCTATCAAAAGTAACTACAGGTAGTCCTCAACTTACAACAGTTCATTTAGTGACTGTTCAAAGTTACAACGGCACTGAAAAAAATGACTGTTTTTCACACTTATGATACAGGTATGATGCAGCATCCCCATATTCACATGATCAAAAATTGGATGCTTGGCAACTGACTCATTTATGATAGTTGCAGTGTCCTGGGGTCATGTGACTGCCTTTTGTGACAAAGAAAGTCAATGGGAAAACCAGATTCACTTAACAACTGTGGCAAGAAAGATTGTAAAATGGGGCAAAACTCACTTAACAAATGTCTCACTTAACAGAAATTTTGGGCTCGGTTGTGGTTGTAAGTCAAGGACTATCTGTATGTTGTACTTCCAAAACAAATTGGCTGAAGATGGATTTCTACTCTTATTTTTCAGGATTTGAAGTCAGAGAAGTGGGTGGTAGGGTATAAAATTAAGCAGATGACTAAGAATTTCCTCTTTGAAAACCCAAAGACAATTTTCAGGTTTGATATAGAGAAAGTCCCTGATATACATGCTCTATTTGGAAGAATAGGTACCTAATAGATTTGGCATGAACATGTTTGCTTTGTTTGAGGGAATGTTTTCCAAGGATAATGGGAGACCAGGATGGAATGGCTCCTTAACTTTTCAAACTTGAAAGTTAGCCATTTTTCTGATATTGCTGAGGTATAAGATTTAGACTTTCACCCAACTACCTGAAACATTTGAATGCACACATAAACACATGCACATACATGTATGTTTGTATAGATGACTTGTTGCCTAAAATAATTTAATTTTCAACTTAAAATGACCAATTCTTTTTCTCATAGGGGATGAAGTAACTGCATAGCTTTCTTTTTAACCTTGTCATCATGAATCCACATCGATACAAACTTCAGATACTTCCTGGAATTAAAATTCAAGGGAAATTGAAACACAGTAAACAGTTTTATAATTTCACACAATATGTGAAGGGGCTGGTTTGATCTCAGCAGTTTTTTTTCCCTTTCCCAAGCTTCAAGCCAATGTTATTTTATCATTTGAGGCATATACTTCTGATACATTTAATCATTTCAGTTGTCACATTTTTGCAACTAAATCATCTCTTTCACCACCAGCCAGAGAAAGCGTTTACTTTCTGTTCTTTTTCTTTCCCTGCTGGCTTGCTTTGTAAATTGACATTAGAAAACTTAGTTTCAACTTATTAAATACTTTGTTCCATTTCATTCAGGAAAAAAACACATATTCCCACAGAGAAACACTTTTTAAACTTCTGTCAAGACCAGGCATGGAAGGACTTAACTATGGAAAAATAGTTGGGAGTTAAAACCCAAGCACAAGGTCAGAAAACACAAAGTTCTTAAGCTTTTAAAACACCCACACATTAGATTAGGGAAAGAGCAAGTTTGGAAATTTTCATCTATAGTTCAACACAAGTGTTTTTTTTTTAAATTATTTCAAAGAACCTAAAACGTTGGACACAAACATATTACTCTGTTTAAAAAATCTCTATGCTGGGAAAGTACCACAATGCAAGAAATACTTTCTCTTTAAGAAAAATGCAGTAAGGTTTTTTGTTGTTTTGGGTGTGTGTGTGCGTGTGTATACACACACATACACACACACACACATCCTTTCCCAATTCTAAACTGTCCAAACCATTAGACTGTGCCACAAAAACTCCCCGAGGAAAGCGTTCGTCCCTTCCAGTTATTATATTGCTTCCGGAAAAGCTCGGATCTTCTGGGAATGTTCATATAGTAAAAGAAACTGCAGGCATTTTATTTGCTAATAATGCAAACAAAAGGTACGCAGCACAGCCCTAGATAGCCCAAGTGCGCTATTCCGCGCACGTGCTGCAAGGCGACACTGGGGCGAGAAAAGGGTGGCGGTGGGGGGGGGGAGACACTTCGCAGATAACAGCGTGAGGGGGTAAATCAACGCGGTGTTCAAAAGGCACAAGTTTGCTTTGTTTCGCCCCTCTCGGTTTTGGCACCACTCCCACCAAGCATCTTCCAAAGAGGCTGCAACTGCAGAAGCCCGAGGCGAAGGCACCACAAGGCTGACTGCAGGACTGCAGTCAGGAGAATCTTGGCACGCAGCAACCTCCCCCCACCCTTCCCCGCCGCCGCCACCGTCCGGCCATAGGGTGGGGTCTTTCCACACACGCCACCCCGTCTGTACCATACCCACAAAAAGGAAAGCGACAGAAGCGGTGCGGGGGGGGGGGCGGTGCGGGAAGAGATGCCCTTCTCCCGGGGGTGCAAGTGGGGGAAAGCGGGAGATGAAGGTGCGAAAGAACCCAAACAGTGCAGGACTGGGACGCCCTTCCTCACGCTTAGGGAACGAGGCATGAGGTGAGACCGGGAGGGGCCGGAAGGCCGCGCCTCGTGAGGGGCCCGACTAAAGCACCCCGGCTCCTACTCCTGAGCTTTAACGGCGGCTGGGAGAGAAAGGACTACTTCTGACAGACAAAAGGTAGGAAAGAGTTTATTACTGCGGAGGCGCCGGCTACGCAGTGCCCTGCCTCAGAGGAGAGCCGAGTAGCCGCCGCCGCCGCAGTAGCAGCCGCCGCCGCCACCGCCACGCCCCACCCCGCCAAACTTCGCCCCCTCCCTTCCCCCCAACGAGAGGGCAGGATGGCAATGGGGAAGGCAGGTGCCCGCGCGCGTTCCCCGGCAGGTGCTCGGGGCTCCCCCGGAAAGTTTGCGCGCGAAGATGCGAAGCGGAACGTCCTCCAGAAAGAGCTGCTACGCCCTCGCCAAACGGGCAACCTCTTCCAGACACGCGCCGCGGGACGGAGATTGTCGTACCTTGGAGGAGTCCTCAGGCTCCTCGGCTTCGGCCACGGCTTCCGTTGGCGTCCGTCCTCCAGGACTCCCGGGCTGGGAATCTCCCGCTGCGGTGGTCTCATCCTGCGGGCTCCGCGCTTCCGTAGAGCTCCCGGTTCCCATGTCTGTCTCTCTCTCTCTCTCTCTCCCCGGCGTCCGCTTCTCCAACCCCTCGGGCTCAGGGGGCGCGCGACGCTTTTCAACCAAGAAAGAGAAACTAGGCGCTAGCAGCAATAATAGAGCTGTCCAGGCAGCTGCGCTCTACGGCTCCTTAACTTCAGCTGCTCGGGAAAGCGGTCAGGCTGCGACTGAACCAACCCTGGAGGTTTCTGCAAACTCCTTTAAAAAAAGAGAGAGAGCCAGCAAAACTACCTCCTCCCTGGTCCCCCGCCCGCCTCTCCCTCCTGCTCCATCACATGAGCAGAGCCCCGGACACGCCTTGCAGCATCAAACCTGGGAATCAAGGAAGAGCCGGGCGAGGAGGCAGGCCAAGGATTGGCTAATATCCCCAGTACCTTTGGCCGGGCAAGCCCCGTCTGGGTCTCCCTATTTCCCACCCTCGAGGTCGTCCTTCGACTTGTGCCCAGGTTCAAGAAGATGAGAAGTCACTCCAAATCCCATCACTCCCATGAATGGACTTCATCTCTGAATTCCATCATAAAAGGAGTGGGGGGGGGGGAAAGGGGGAGGAGGCTTTATGGAGCACCTGACCTTCAGCTTTGAGCTAAACAACCTCTGGGCCCCTCCCTTCCCGGCCTTGAGGGATGCATCTGATTGCTCTAAGGTGCTTAACTCTTCTATGGGTAGGGGATGGGGGAGGGGGGATGTGTAGGAATCATGGATTGGATTTAGTGCAAGAGTTCTTTTTATATTTAATCTGCGTCTCCATCACTGTCTGAGGCTTCTCACACTTAAGCACCACATAGGTAGACCCAAATCTGGAGTGTAGTCTGGTATATTAATCTGGTAATTTTTCAAAGGAGGTAATTGGACGAAAAAGTCAGATCATGTCAAAAGCGTCAACATCTGTCAGCACTCAAGCCACGGATCCTCACGTACAACAACCATGGGTATTGTGGGATCAAGCAACAGTCAATAAAAATGACAGGTCAGCAGCATATGATATAGAATTGGGTGGAACATGAAATAAGTCACATTGTTAATTTCTTTTAAAACAAAACAAAACAAAACAAAACCAGCCATTCTCTCATTATTACTAAACTGTATTGAAAGAACAGTAGTTGAATTCAGACATAGTCTAAAATAGTCTATAAAATAGACCTATTGTATTCTGTGAGGTTTAAATACTATTGATTTCATTGATCTCTTACTTTTAAAGGTTTAGCTGTGCTTAAATAAAACCTGGGATTGCTTTCCATTGTGGTTGTAAGAAAGGTTATAAAAGCTTAAAAAGGACTGAAAATAAAAAAGAAAAGATTTGTAGTCAAACCCTGAAAATTAGTTGTTCCTTACAATGCTAGTTATCTATAGTATTATTAACAAATATCCTTATGACCTTAGAATAAATTGTTATATAAACGTTCAGTTGTATTTTGCTAATGTTTTACATATTGAGATACGTACATTCAAGTTAAAACCTCTTCTACACAAAGACTCTCCCATAATCATTGGAGAGGTAAAAAAAAAGTCAAGATGGCAGCCACAGTATTATTACTGAAACCCCACAGTAATTTCTGCAGGGAGTGTGGATTCATGTGGGGCAGAGGGAGGTGTATTTTATGCAGCTTTCCTATAATAAAAAGTAAAGTATAGATGTACTGTAAACATTTCCATCATTATAATAAAGAATGAATAAATTGATTACATGCTTTGGGAAGCAGTTATATATGTCATTGTCTTCATTTGATGTGTACAGATCAGACCCATGATGGCAAACCTATGGCATGCTTGCCATAGGTGGCACATAGAGCTGTTTGTGCAGGCACACGAACCCCAGCCAAATCTACCTACACTGCTCATGCACGCACCTCCCAACTGGTTTTCGGCCCGTTTGAGGCCTTTTTCGGCCTCCCAGAGGTTTGAGGGAAGCCTCTGCAGCCTTTGGAGGCTGAAAAACAGGACCGTTTCATCACTTCTGCTATTTCCGGAAATATCGGAAGTGACAAAATGGACTCATCAGTATTGCTAATGACAGGAATTAAAATATGTATTAATAGTTTGAGCTGGTGATTAAGGCAATGGACTACAAACTAGGAGATCATCAGTTGTAGTCCTTTGGCATGAAAGTTGGTTGCGGGAATTTGGGCTACTTAGTCTTTTAGTTCCATCTCACAGGACAGTTCTAGGGGAAATAAGAGGCAGGAGCATTATGTATGCTTAAATTTGATAGATTAAAGGTGGGATCTAAATCTAATAATATCAGGTCTATAATTATATCAGGCCTCTTAATCCATTTTTACTAATTATTTTATTTGACTCCTGATCGAAAACTGCCCCCACAGTACAGTCTGAATAATATTTGGAAGCAGTTGCTATCAAACTTTCCCGCAGAAGCTCAAGCCACAGACAAATATTCAGTAATAAAAATAAAACCTCTTAAGATTTAATTGTTACAATACTTACCAAGCCCCTAATACAAGGACAGCACAAGACAGCAGATCCTACCTGCATCTTCCCGCCATCTCTAGATCCCGTTTCTCTACTGTATTTTCTGAGTCTTTTCAATTAGCTCTTGCATCCTTCACTATAGCAAGACCCTGTATAACTGATGCTTTTTCTAAGTTTCTTAACTGTTTTTTAATGCCATAATTCTCCATTGGAATAATAGTGCATCCTTAGAAGGTCAGTTAATGTCACAGAGTGGGATTTTGAACATAACAAAGCCTGTCTTTAAAAGTCAAAATACTATTAGTTCCTACATCCACACACCCCATGCAACCAATAAGTATTTTGGATTCCCACACCTTAGGAACTCATATTTATGGGAGAACGCTTTTTGCTTGTCATTTTAATAGGGATATTTCCTTTTGGAAGATGCAGTTCGTACAATAATAATAGTAGTACAATTTAACTGAGTTACTGTGGTTGCTAAACCCAGTTTCTGCCGTGGACTTTTTTTTTTTTTGGCCAGAAATCGAAAGTAAATAGCAATAGCACTTAGACTTATATACTACTTTACAGTGCTTTACAGCCCTCTCAAAGCGGTTTACAGAGTCAGCATATTGCGCCCAACAATCTGAGTCCTCATTTTACCCACCTCTGAAGGATGGAAGGCTGAGTCAACGTTGAGCCTGGTGGGATTCGATCTACCAAATTGCAGCAGGAATAGTTTGCAGTACTTCTCTCTAACCACTGCGCCACCAAGGCTCATGCTGGTTTCTGGTGAAAAAACGTTGCAAATTGTGGTGCTATGACATGGGACACTGCAAACAGACATAAATGTGGGCTGGTTGCTAACTCAATACAGGTAGTTCTCAACTGATCACCATAATTGAGCCCCAAATTCCTGATGCTAAGTGAGACAGTTGTTAAGTGAATTGTGCCCCATTATACAACCTCCTGTCACAGTTGTTAAATGAATCACTGCAGTTGTTAGGTTAGTAACATGATTGTTAAGTGAATCTAGCTCTCCCGTTGACTTTGACAAAGTCACAAAAGGTGATCAGATGAGCACAGGACACTGAATATGAGTCAGTTGCCAAGCATCTGAATTTTGATTACATGACCATGGGGATGCTGCAACAGTTGTGTGAAAAACTTGGTCATAAGTCACTTTTTCAGTGCCATTGTAACTTCAGTCACCAAACGAACTCTTATAAGTCAAGGATTATCTATATATGATTATGTGAGGGGAGAGGCAGCTGTTGGAAATTTGAATCTACATCCTAAGTACCCTTTTGGGGGTCAGTTGTGACTTTGGTTACTAAGTGACTCATCATAAGTCAAGGAAGTCAGCCAGTAATCAAAATGAAGCAGCCATCTTGAGTAACAGGAGGACCACAAAAGCAGCCATGAAGCAGTCATCTTGAGTAACAGGAGGAGCACAAAAGTAGCCATGAAGCAGCCATCTTGAGTAACAGGAGGAGCACAAAAGTAGTCATGAAGCAGCCATCTTGAGTAACAGGAGGAGCACAAAAGCAGCCATGAAGCAGCCATCTTGAGTAACAGGAGGAGCACAAAAGCAGCCATGAAGCAGCCATCTTGAGTAACAGGAGGAGCACAAAAGGGGAGCAAGAGATTTCAAAGTTGGAAGTCCATCTGGCTTTATTCTTTGAGGATAACTGAAGGGAGTGACTTAAATTTAATGATCTGATGGTAGTTAGTTGAATTTTCATCCGTTTGATGTATTAATTGAAAGAAAACTAGTGTAATTTTCTGCCTATAAAGTGGGTTTGAAAATGGGGCTTTTTTTCTTCATATATAATGCTTGAGTAATTCCTAAAGCTTTTAAAATATTATTGAAAGTGAACTTTAAAGTATGTATCTTAAGAGGAAGTTTAAAAAAAGATGTTGATTTTAGAATTATTTTTAAAGAAATGTTTAGAGTTTTAAAATGGATGTTGTATCCCTGCAGTCACATGATCATGACCCAGGTGTTTGGCAACTGGCTTGCTTTTACAACATCACGGTGTTCCACACTTACGTGTGATGCCATTTGCTACCTTCTTTGTTGGATTTCTACAAGGAAAGGAAAGGAAAGGAGGAAGGTGGCAGGAGATTGCAAATGGCGACAATGTGACATTGTGCTAACATTGTTGGATTTGCAGAAGGATGAAAGCTCCAACATTTTTGTCACTAATTGGTGCAGTGACATGACGTTGAGCTTTAACATGCCAATGAAGATTTTGAGCTCAAATGTAGTCCTAAGTCGAGGACTACCTGTATATATAGATACACACTAACATATGCTAATACACACCTAATGGGAATACAGTGCATTGTAGAAAATAGAGAAAAAAATAGGAAGATAAAGGGAGAAGTTGGAGAAGAATCAAAATAAACAGGAGACTGGCTCTGACCATGTTTCAAGGAAGCCTGTTCCCTCAATATATTTAATTAGATAATTAGCATACTCATCTCCAGTTTGTAGTAAACCTAGTTAGACTTTGTTTCAATTCTCTGCATTGCTTTGCTGTCGTCCACTGGCCATTTGTGGTTTTTTTGTTTGTTTGTTTGTTTGCAGCCAGATCAGGTAAACCTAGACAGGAATGCATAGCCATGCACAGCCATTGGGAGACTGAAACCCAGTCAGTTGAGCTATTTTTTAAAAACATGTTTTGATCTCAACCCCTGCCTTCCTAAAAAGATTATTTTCATTTTTC